GAAACTGAGCCACTTCTCCTCGGCGACTTCAGTGTGCTGTGTGTGATGTACTAAACTAAAAATGACTTTTTTAATGTGACATTTTCATCATCTTGCCTGATAAGTCTCACAGATCTATCATCGCTGTTTCTTTATCCAGTGTAGTTTATTAATTGACATGTTATAACTGTTATATAATGTGAATCTTTTGCTGTTGCATCCAACATTTCTCACCTGTTTCACAAGATAGTGATGGGAAGGTGAGACAGAAAAGGTGTTATTGCCATAAAAGCCCTAATCTGGCCCTTGTGAGTCTTTGTGTTTGGTTTTATGGTGTGTTTTTTAGGCTACGTCCACATTAGCCCGGATAGATTTGAAGTTGTTTTCACAGCGGTGTGCGTCCACATTGAAACGACCGAAAACGCTTACGTTCTAGTCCTGCGCATGCGCAAAAGCGAGTGAGAATTAAAGAATTTGAAGAAAAGCTATCTGGAGCATGTACAAACTGATATTAATCTTTTTTTAGGGCTGTCAAAATTGAGAGCAATCATAACAACTGCTGTATAATGCACTCCGCTAGCTTTGTTTAATTGGTCACATGACTGTATCACATGACTAAAATGCGGCATTGTTTTAGAAAGTCTGCGTTTTCGAGCGTCCACACTGCGACGGGACAGCTCCGTTTTGAAATGAATGCGTTTTTGAGAGAGTTTCCAAAACGCTGCATTTTCTTTGAGGAAAACGCCGTCTCAGTGTGGACGGGAGGCCAAAACGGAGAGAAAACGATGCATTTTCGTGTGGACGTAGCCTTAGAAAGTTCTTGCTCCTTTTCTTGCTTTGTCTGTTTCTTATTTTTCCTCCTTTTGCCTCCACTTCCTTTCTCTTCTTCAGCTACCTGGGGCAGCTGACTCTTTGGCATTTTAAACGCTTGCATATTACAGTTCACATTGAGGAAATCGGATCTTGAGCAACAGCTCTGCCCTCTGGCACAGGGGGCAACCTGTACATAGACACACAAGCGTGGACACACAGTGCAGTGTGAGCTTCACGGCTGCCTCTAGCCAAGTGCCTTGTGTTGACACAGGCTCTGTGTGGCACAGGCCCATATAGCTGAGCTGTTGTTTGCTGAGCTTGGTCCATGCCGTACTGGCTAGAGAGATAATGGAAAAGGTTATTCTTCTTTACAGTCGAAGCCTCTGTCTCCAAGCAGCAGACTGGTTTGTTTGGGATTGGGGGTTTTTTGTGTCTGTAGGCAGAATTATAATGTCAAGGCTTCTCGTACCATTTGGATGTGTAATGGCCGAGGTCACTGTCAGAGTTTTACAGGACTGCACGTTTTATGTTTTTCTAAATAAAAGTCTTAAGTGCCTGTGCCTCTTCCGACCTTAGCGCTTCTGAATTTCCAAAATGTTTTGTGGCCATAGTACGAAACGCATTTCATGCATGTACAGGATACCAAATGTTGTTACCCTGAAAGAATGCCTTCCCTACTTAAAACCATGGTAGAGTACTCGCTACTGAGCCATTAACAAAAAAAATAAACAAAAAAACTTTGTCCTGTGAACAACCTGAAGCTTCTTGTTGCTTCGTATAGTCTCAGTCTATTGTTCTATGAATGCAGAGGAGGCAATTTGCAGTTGAAAATGAGACTGAGCGGCATGTCGTGGTGAGCGGGGTACAAAGCGACAAGTCATTCCTAACAATGTCGGGCTAGCTTCCTGTAAGTGCTGCAATCAGAATTCTGATGGTTTTTTGTACCTGCTCGATCGCAGTGTGGAAAATGTCTCTTTTTTTTCT